AAACAAACAAAAAAAGAAACCCTCAAGGTGAACCAAGAACATTGATTACTACAGGCTGGGAGGGGTGGGAGATATAAAAGGAGTTTGCATTAAAAAAGAGAGGAAAATGGTGTGCTTAATTCTGACAAATATATTAATATAAGATGTTAGCAGGAGAAAAAGGGTGAGGAGTGTTTGGTAACTCATATTACTAACTTACAATTTTTGCTTTGTAGGTTTAAAATGAAGAGAAAGAGAGAGAGAGACAAGAGAGACACAAAAGTACTGATCTTTCTTATATATCTTATATCCATATACTACAACTATTGGCTCCCTCTAGGAACAGAACGCACCAAAGTTTTGTTCACGGTTAACACACAAATAAAAACAACCCCAGCGAGGACTTTCAGTCTCTCCAGGGCTCTGTCCCTCAGCATTGCTCTCATCACTGGACAAAGGGGATTTTTCTCACTCTCCCAGCTGCACCACGGCAGCCCTTCTTCTGTCTCCCATTTCAATGAGCTTCCACTTAGAATGATGCTGTAATTTTGAACTGTACACTTATCTTAGATTTGCTAATTTGAAAACACACATGCATACAACTCATCTGTAAGTAAGATTTAACCACCCAGCAATCTGAGCAGCAGACACAAAATTTCATTTGGTATAATATCTAATACTTATGTGAAGCTAATTAAAGATAATTTGGTCTTAATGAGGCAAAGAGAATATAACAGTGTTAATTTCAAAGTAGGCTGATCCATGAAAGTCAAGTAAAATCACTTCCCAGTCTCAACACTTCCACAGACCTGAGGACTATCTGAGGATTCCCAAGTCCACACTAATGGTTACAATCATCTTCTATGTTTGTCTCGTGTTTTAGTCACTCATCATCTTCATAGCAGTATTTCGTTGGAGCCTCACAACAGCTCTGTGCATGCAGACTGCAGACTTCACCCTCTACACAGAACAGATCCGGGAAACTGCAGCTGCAGAGAACTCACGGGGCTGCGCACACCACACTTGGGCCTCCTTAGACTGCGGACCTCACATCTCACATTTTTACTACAAACATATAAACCAGAATAGTTTTTTAAAAAGAACTTCGAGCATAAGGAGATATTAAAGAAAAACCTGCCCATTTGCAGCACTGAGCCATTTAAAAATAGAGAAATTTCTAATTGGATTTATTTTATGATGTAAGCAGAAGGAAACATTTATTACTCACGTCTATGAAATCTAAGCAGAGTCTAAATGTGACATCATACAAATGGTACTTGAGATTGAGAAGACTCAAAAGCACCGGGCACATATGGGAAACACATTTAAGAATGGTCCTCCTTATGAATTGCCATCTATATTTCCTTTTTCCGCTTTTATACAGAGAAGGGCATTTTTTTTTTCACATAAACATCTTACGTTAGTGATCCCTTTGATCATTATAAACAGTCTCAATTCAATCCCAAACTGACAGACTCTTCTGGATGTGAGAGAGCAGCTACTTCCACAAGGTTAACCAGGGGTCCAAATGGATCTGTAATTCCCACATGAGCTTCTAGACTGCACTGCGAGGAGAAGGCTCTCACCATGATCAGAGGGTACTGTTCAGGCAGGCTGGCCTGCTATAGTCTTTTCTCCTTATTATACCACGGTGTCACAACCAAGCATTAGAACTACAAGAACCCCTAAGCTCCCTAATGCAAACCATATTTTGTTTTTATCCATCAATTTAAAGGAGAGCAAACAAAAAAGTGCACTCATCTGATCTAACAGATTAAGTAAATGTCTACAAGATATTTCTCTGAGTAAGGAACAACAGTTTTGGGGCCAGTGTTATGGCACAGCAGGTAAGCAACCACCTATGAATACCTGCCGTCCATATGAACACTGGCTGTTCCACTTCCCATCCAGTTTCCTGTTAATGTGCCTGGGAGAGCAGCAGAAGATGGCCCAAGTACTTGAGCCCCTACCAGCCTACACTGGGAGACCCAGACTGAGTTCCAGGTTACTGGCTTCACAGCCTGGCTGAGCCCCTGATGACATGGGGAAGTGAACCAGGGACTGAATATCTCTCTCTGCCATTCCGCCTTTCAAATAAATAAACAGATCTTAAGGGTAAAAAAAAAGGGGAACATTAGTGTTTTTTTTGTTTTTTTGTTTTTTTTTTTTTTGGCTGAAGTAGCCAAATCCATGCCAGTAGAAGCACACTAAATGGAGGAGTAAGTGACCTTCAAAGCAAAAGCTGGATCCCACTGTGAAGCCCTCCCAGGCACCTTCTATGGCACACAAGACCAGTGATGACCCCAGTGCTTGAACTTCTCCCATCCAAGTACTACCTAGGTCTGACATTTCTGGATAAGCCATATACATCTTGACTCCAGCACCTCTGGCCCTCTCCACCTGAAGGCAGAGAGGAAGAAGGGCTCACAAAACAACTCCAGTTACAGACCTTCTAAACAGTATTCTCCAGCCACTTTGCTCCATTTGTTCAGAGAGAGAACAACAGAGTATTTTTGAAAAAAAGAAAACATAACACTGTATCTACATACCACCAACTTGACCCTAAAAAGTACAAAAAGTAAGGAACTCCATGGGAAAAAAATTTCCAGTGACCTCAAAGTTTAATAAAGGAGATGAAATCCCTTTCTAGCAGGTCTTCCATTTGGGAAAAACCAAGGGAGACTGATTACACCAGAAAATCTAAGATGTACCTGTTGAGAAATTAAGTCTTTATCCTCAGTGAAGGAAACCCTGAAGTTAGGATCTAGAAGATAATGATCTCAAATTCCTTATCAACTCAATTAAGTGTAGCACCAGAGGTAAAGAGTTATATGAAGGAAATTTTTCTTCCACATTTAAGTACATCTTTAATTTGTCTAGGTGCCCAGATAAATACATATTAAAGAAATAAAACAGAGAAGGGTATTTTTAAAGTACTTCCTTAAAAATCACAAACAGTAAACATAAACACACATAAACACCACTAAATTGATCAGGTGGTTACACAAAAGAATAATTCATTGAGAATGAGCCTTGTAGAAAACCCAAAAGATAACGAGAGAGTCAGAACTGATGAGTGAGGCGCTACCTCAGCAGCATAAAACAGAGAGATGGCAGGGTTGAAATTTATTAAACTGAACATACAGATAATGTTTCCATGCCCTTTTGTCACTATCCATGATACTGTGGCCAGGTAAAGGAATTTTAATGAAATCTGTAAAGCCCATCAAAAAGACTGTCAGAATGCATTTTTCAAGCAGGGTTTGAAATGTCTTACTTCGAAGTCTCTCTCTTCTTAGCCCAGTCCTGAAAGCTACTGAACCACAAAGGGCCTATCGAGTGAAACCTTCACACAAGGAGTAAAGATCATTACACAACACTGTCATTTCTCAGTATGGAACATTTCCCCTATCCAGCCATCAACCAGCCGTCAGATGTGGTGGTAAGATTTTAGATTCTTACAGCAATCAAACATGCCAAATCACAACAATGACTTGGACATTTACAGTATACTTACCACAGTTCTTATGGACTCTGTGCTAGTCTATTTATTTGTGTTCTCTCAACCAATTCCCAAAAAAATCCGAGGTAGTTACTACCATTATACCCAGTTTTCTAATTAGGAAACTGAGCTATGGCTGGCTCTTGAGTTTTTCCTCTTACCTACCATACCACATGACTTGTTCAGTAAGAATACACCACAGTGTTTTGCAGGTTTGTTGTATGTTAAGATAACTGCAAGAAGATACAGAGAAACTGTCATACTCGGTCATCAACTTTAAAATAACATTTAAGGGGGCCAGTGTTCAACACCCAGCTACTCCACTTCTGTTCCAGTTCGCTGCTACTGCGCCTGAGAAAGCAGCAGAGGATGGCCCAAATCCTCGGGCCCCTGTACCCACTTGGGAAACCTGGAAGAAGCTTCAGGCTCCCAGCTTTAGTCTGGCCCAGCCCCAGACAATGCAGCCATTTGGGGAATGAACCAGTGGATGGAAGATATCTCTCTCTCTGTCTCTATTTCTCCTCTTCTCTCTGTAACTCTGCCTTTCAAATAAATAAAAAATAAATCTTTTCAAAAAATGAAAAAAAAAAAAAACCATTTATGAGGAAAAGCTGAAAGAAAAAAAGATGAACACAAAAAGATTAATTTAAAAAAATCTGATTATTACCCCTTAATCTATCAGTCTGTGTGTGTGAATGAGTGTGTACGTATATGTGGTAACCTAGGCAACTATTTCAAAAAAGAAGACTGGTTAATAAAACACACTTTTTGAATGTAAGCACAATTTGCTTTCCAGTTCTCATTATAAAACTGGATGTCTAGTCTTAAAATCTTATGGTAAGGAAAAGGTAGAGGTAACATCTACCTTGAGAGCATTTTGGATCTCACAATTTGCTAATGGCCTGGAGTACCTACCCAGCAATTCCTTGGTTCCAACAAAATCTTTTGCACATCCTTTTTCTAAATTATCCCACGCAATCTTCATGCCTCATGATTTCAAGATTCTATCACTGCAATTTTCAGAAAACTCTTCAAAACCTATCATTCCGAGAAATACAGAGCTGGGCTGCAATATTACATTTCACCAGTAGGTGTCACGACCTGAAACACTATAGATGCCAGCTCAAAGATCTCTTACGTTACAGGAAACAAAAATGACCCCAATTGTATTCAGCTTCAAAGTCTAGAATTCTCTTCACTGAATTTATCTACAGTGTAGGTGTCCATGTTGAATGCCAATGTTGGTATGATATCAAAGTTTAATTGTAAACATTAACAAATAGTAATATATAAACATGTATAAACTGTCAGTGCTAAAATTTTTTTCCTGTTTACTTTTTACATTTAAAACTTACACTATTACCAAATAATTGCTCTAAATAACAAAAGCCATGAGGTTTTGATAGCCAGATAAACAGCATGAAGCTATGACTACAGTAATGGGAAGCCACTGACCACTACATCTAACAACAACAACAACAACAAAAACAAAACAAAACAAAAAACAACCACAACTTACCACTACTGCCACAATCTGCACAGGACAGGAGTTCTTCTGGTTTCTTTTCACGATTTGATTCTTTAGTCCCCAAACAGAAGCTACATATTGGAATGGGATCGGCACGGGGCTATGGCAAAATTAAAACAAAAAACATTGTTTGCTTTCATTTCAAAATAAGAAAACCAAGCAAATTAGATATTCAAATCCTATGTTCTGCTAATGAAAAACCTCTTAAATTATTTGACTACAGTATTATCTGAATTATAGAGTACTATGATAAAAAAAACTTGTGAAATTGTTTAATATAAAACTCAGAAGTAATTTTTACTAAAACAATGAAATCTAAGACTTATATATATTTTACATACTTACTATATATTATATATATATATATTCATATATATTCATGTGAAATTTCTACTCCCAAAATCCATGTCTATAATAAAATGACTCATCTATTCAGTAATATAGTCCATGAATATTACCCAGTGAAAGTAGATTATTTAACTAACAGTTTATCAAATGCTGGTTACTACTATTAAATATCAGACATGAAATATTGGTATGTTCTTAAGTGACATAAAAGAATTGGAATGAGAACTAAAGCCCTGTGAGATTACCTGAAAAGATAAATGACCATTAACAGGGTTTCCTGCACCAGTCTTCAAAAATAAACCCTCAATCTCTTATAAATTCCCACATTATAAAAGAAACACCAAACATTTGTCTAACCCTCTAGCACCCTGTAACTGTCACTATGGAAATTCTTTTAACAATGTATAAATCTACATGTATTTCAGTGTCTCCACTGCTACTTGCTAGGAGCTGGTATTCCTATCTATATAAATAGTTGACTGTATCTACAGACCTGGTCACATTGTTTTGAACAGCTAAAACTATGAAAACTAAAATTTTATTGTACATTCTCAGCCTTCACTCATCTGCTAGTCAACTGATTGATGTCTTTATATTTGAATCTCATAATCAAAAATACAGAACAAGACAACATGACATAATTAGAAATGTTTTATGTAAATTAAATATAAGCTTTTGCTAGGTCTAATTCTCAAAATACATATCAACATAGAATAAACTGTAGGTTCAGCCACGGTATTCCAAATGCTTAATACATTGAGTGGTACACAGGAGGCACTCAAAATATTTGCTAACTAAATAAATGTTTAAATATGCCAATTTTTAAACTTTTAAAATTAAATGATTCCAATAAATATCTCGATTCTTGTGACATCTCATCAAAGTCAAAAATCCATCCTATGACCAAGCATTTGCAAAACTGTTTAATGCGGCTGTCAATTTTATTTTCTGTTGTGAGCATTTCACTGTCTTGCCCTTATTTTCAGCTTAATTTCTTTAATATGCACAGTTTTTTACTTCCTGTGGTAGCTATGCAAATGTATTTTTGTGGCCCCAGTTAAAAAGCAGAGTATTAAAACATTCTGTACTGTTTCTGGTTGTCTTTTGGAAACCAAAATACAAGCTACAACAAATTGGTCACTGACTCCAGCCACAGTTTTTTAAATGCCAGATAATCAGCACTGCATAATTATGGATCCACAGTTATTACTTGCAACCGCTCTACTGCAGTACCTTGGGAACACTTTTGTTCCTTTAAATAGCAATTAAAAGAACAATCTGGTTTTAAAGTGACAACATTCCCCTGATAGATTCTAGCTAAAACCCAGTCCTTGTACTAATGGGATTCCTGCTTTCATTTGATATAACAATGTTCAAGCCACCGCTGCCATCCTTGCAGTGATAAATAATTTACAAAATGTCACATATCATTCATGCAATGAAACTATCCCATTTTTCTTTCCCAGATGAATTTTTAGCTGTAAGAGAGACATGGCCATCAGCCAGCATTCATGCTCATTTTTCGTTTTTAACTAAAGGTAACACAAAGGACAAAGGTTGCTAGTAGTTCATGGCCAGAAAGACTGATGTCCCACAATCTACCCAATAATAGAAAGCATAGATGCTATCACTTAACGCTGCATTCAAGTGAGCCCTACCACACTGATGTATGCTTGCAACCATTTATTTTAAGGATAACTATCTCACAATACTCTATAAAACCACTGCATTATACAGAAATGTCTGCCCTGCTGAATTATTGATAATTCAAAGCACTTTTTGCTAACCTCAGTGTAGCCAAGTCTAATTAACTTCAAAAAATTGTCACTTGTATGAAATGAAACTTTTACAGTAATGTATGTATATGGGTCACAGAATTATTATGACTCACTACTCCCCATCAGACTACATATAAACTGTTTAAGAAAAATAATCCCTTGTAATAAAGTAAAATGGATTACAGTCAGAAAAGAGGTCTGAGTAAATGACAACGTGTTTCTATACAAGTCTATCGCAGACAAATGAAATTTATGAGGTCTGAAAATAAAACACCAAATCTCAAAATTTCTAAGTCCTTTCTTTGAAATCTCAGAGGCACCTAACCTGTTGATCACATTTTCACATCAACATATTTTACTTTAAAACTAATCTTAAGCATGAATGCTCATGAGTAATCTAAAATGAAAATATTCAGCAAGCTCTGCCCTGGGAACACCTCCTCGTCTCATACACAATGGACCTGGGGCTGCTTCTGGGCTACAGGTCATTCTTGCATTATATGTCATTTAATCATCTAACAACCTTGCCAATAATTTGTTTGGTTTGTCTCCATTTTAGGGACAAAACTGAGAATCTAAGAAGTTAGACAATTTACTTATTTATTTTAGAGGCAGAAAGAAACACAGATCCCACCACCACATGACTGCAACAGCTGTAACTGGGCTGGGGCCAGAGCTAGGAGCTGGGGATTCATTCCATGTCTCCCCCACGGGTGGCAGGAACCCAACTACTTGAGCTATCACCACTGCCTTCCAGAGTCTGCATTAGTGAGAAGCTAGAGACAGAAGTCAGAGCCAGGAATCAAACCTCAGGGCTCCAACATGAGACATGCCTGCTTCAAGGTAACTATTCTACAGTTACCAGGCTCAAGTGAGGAGTTAGGACACACACACGTCTGCTTACACTGAAGTCTACATCTCGCCTTTGCTATCTCCATTCTATTCCTCTCAGAAAAATAAATGTTAAAATACTCTCTCCTCGGCCGGCGCCACGGCTCACTAGGCTAATCCTCCACCTGCGGCACCAGCACACCAGGTTCTAGTCCCGGTCGGGGCACCGGATTCTGTCCCGGTTGCTCCTCTTCCTGTCCAGCTCTCTGCTCTGGCCCGGGAGTACAGTGGAGGATGGCCCAGGTCCTTGGGCCCTGCACCCATATGGGAGACCAGGAGAAGTACCTGGCTCCTGCCTTCAGATCAGCGCGGTGTGCCGGCCGCAGCGGCCATTGCCGGGTGAACCAACGGCAAAAGGAAGACCTTCCTCTCTGTCTCTCTCTCACTGTCCACTCTGCCTGTCAAAAAATTTAAAAAAAAAAAAAAAAAAAAACTATCTCCTCAGTGGCAATAACTATGTACTAATGTGCTCATAATCTCTTGGCAATATTTTTTAAACTACTGAAAAAGGCAACTGCTAACATTCCACAGATGATTCATTACAATGGCGAGAAGATACCTTTACAATGGAGAAACCTAATAGATATTTCCTTAACCAATCAATACAGGACAAACTGACATTGTGTGCTTCCCCAAAGGACTCACTAGCTACACGGCATTCTTTGCTGGACACTTCCTGGGAATCTAGTCACAAAGAAATCAGGCAAATCCAAACTGAGGAAATTTTGTAAAACAATTTGTCTGGCCTCTTCAAAAAATGTCAGTCTTGGAGCTGTTGTGGCACAAAGTGTTACATTGCCACTTTCCATGCCTACCTGCCATGTCAGTGCTGGTTTGAGTTCTAGCTGCTCCTGTCTGATCCAGCTTCCTGCCAATGCACCTAGGAAGGCAATAGAAGATGGACCAAGAGCTTAGGCCCCTGCCACCCTTGTGGGAGACCAGGATGGAGGTCTGGCTCCTGCCTTTAACTTGGGCCAGCCCTGACTGTTGCAGTCATTTGCAAATTAAACAAGCAGATGGAAGATAGATCCCCACCCCCCTCTCTCTCCTTTGTCACTCAGCCTTTCAGAGAGATTTTGTCCATATCATGTAAGACCCAAAAAATGCCAGAATCAGTTTGGGCAACTAAAGGGTCATAAAACCTAAATACAATTTATGGATTTTAAAAGCCACTCATCTGTAAATGATATTATTAGGATAATTAGGGGAAGATACACTAAATATTAGACCATTTACAAACTAAACAAAATACAAATTTCTTGAGGGAACATAATTGAGATTATATAGAAGATGTATGTTCTTTGGAGGTATCTGCTGAAATATTTAGATGTAAAGTGTCATGTTACTGTAACTTTCAAATAAGTCAAGGAAAAAAACCTTAAGTGTGTCTGTATGTGAATGTGCAGAGGGACATAGGAAGCAAACATGATAAAATATTAATAGTGAATCTATGTGAGGGTATATAGGTGTTTATTATACTATTCTTTTGATTTTTTTTACATTGCATGTTTATAACCTTTCAAAACAGAAAACTAAAGAAAAACCAAACAGCACTCACCGCTTCATTCTCAAAAGAGATCTAGAATGAATTATTTTATGGTTGGATTATAAGCATTTATAAAACACAAGATTTCAATCCAATTACTGACTCAACCAAAATACACAGGACAGAGGAGAGAGAGGACTATTGTTTTCTGTAGAACAAGGAAATTTCAGTACCAAAATTCTAGAAGATAAATAACCCTGTTTCTTCAACATATAAAATAAAAGGGAGAAACAGTAGGAAATACACACAGAAGCAGAATCAACAGATTAAGAAATATTTAAAAGGCCTATCAGTCCACCACAATGTGTGGACCGATCTTGATCATGATTCAAAAGTAAAGCAAAAAAAAAAAAAAAAAATTGTGACACAGTGAAGGAAGCTAGGACTATTTCGCATGAAATGGTAACTCTCCATTTCCCATCCCCCTAGCCCCCAGCAATCTCTATTCTTCATCCTGTTCTCTATGAGTTTGAGTACTGCAGGCACTCAAATAAGCGGAAACACACAGCATTTGTGGCATGGATTATTCTTGAGGTG